CCACAGACTGGTGCCATGATGCATGATGCGCCGCCCCTTGGATGTCATTACGTCAAACCCACTGCGAATGTCGACTGATGCCCCAACCTTTAGACCTGAGAGCGCGCACACAGCCTTGACTGAATCTGGCACTTCTTGCAAAGATCTCGAGAACATGGATCTTCCCTTTATGGACAAGCTTGGGAGCCGTTTTTCCAGCAACGCGCAATGGTTTTGGAGGAGTTGGTGTGAATGACACCTTCTTCTTGGAATCGGATGAGCCGCCTTGCTCTTTCTGCAAGGATTCTTGCTCATCTGGCAACAAAAGATCAATTCCGTTTTTTTTTCGGAGGGATGGTCTCATCCTTCCTGACCTTTGTCATGTTGACTTTGATGAATCGGGTTCCAAGGTCCAGTCCAACCATGGCTCCTTCCAGAGAAATGACTTTTCCTCTTAACCATATTCCTCCTTTGCTTCCGTCGGAACGAATCTTGGACTTGTCTTCCTGCCAGTAAAATACCGGTAGAGGTTTTGAACTCGTTCGGAAATTCTGAGCAAGGTCTCCGCGGATGTCTTCGGATTGACGAGCTTCTTGGAATGCTTGTTTTGACAACTGCATAATCTGGATGGCTGTCAGCTCTTTCTCATTCCTGTCAATCGTCAATTGAGTTGGAGTTGCGACAGCAAGCTGGAGGAGATCTGCTGGTCGTCGTCTGAATGCGAGTTCCAAAGGTGTTACACCCCCGTAGGCGCCGGTCTGATTTCTGGCAGTTGCGGCTGCCTTCACAAGTTGTCGGTGCGTCACCTTCTTCAGTGTTGCAGGTGCTGCGCCTGCCTTGATGGAGTTGAGCATGATCTTCAATTGCGCCTTCAGGAGCCGAACTGCTGCTTCAGCTCGGTTCCCAACGATATTGGTGTGATGTTGAGGGATTGATAGAAACGTTCCATGTTTCCGTCATGAAGGCTTGATCTCCAACAACTAATTTGGGCTGCAAGTGGTACTGGTCAAAATAGTTCCTGACGACAGTGATGTTCTCCACTTCCTGCGTGGTTGTCGCTGCCCAAGCAGTGCGCAATGTCGTTGCTCCATGCAGGATGACAAAAACAATGATATGTTCTCCAGTTCCGAGAGGAACCTGGCAATGATCAATGAATGTCATGCTTTGAAATGTGTCCGCTCGAAGTCCACTCGTTTTGCTTCCTGATGGTGCTTGCTCTGCTGCTTGGCAAACTTCGCACTCGCTTCGGATTCTGTCAAATAAGTCGTAGGTAGATTTCGGCAAGTGAAGCACGCGGGTTCTGAGTCAAAATTGGTCGGTAGTCATGTGGTGATGCTGAAGGTGGAGCTTCTTCAACTCTTCGGGATTTGACAATCGCTGGTGGGTTCTGCCTATTTCAAGAGGTAACGATGTTGGTTCGTCTGCGGACGGTGCAGTAGGATCTGGCTCATTGGTCGACCGGCCTTTCTTGTCCATGGTTCTGTTTGCTGCAGATCCTGAACCTGATTCTTCGTCTTTCAAAGCCTGGGATGTAAATCCCCAATTGTCTTGTAAGGTGTCTGGATCTCCGCCCCTGGATGCATCAATGATCTCCGTTGTACGTTCTCGGCTGATGTTGTCAGGATTGATTGGACAATTGTTCGCCCCAGTTGGTGTGAACAGCGCCTTGCGACGCGTGATGCGCACACGGATGAGCTGCTTGTTCTTCTTGTCTTGTATCCAATGATCCTGCTTTAGAGACCCAATGTTTTTTGGAGTTGCGGTGCCCTCCTTTGTCTCGGATGATTTGGATGCGCAAACAGTCTCGAGTCCCCGGAGGGAAACTTGATGCTGTTGTATCATCGTAGACATTATTCGTGCGGCAGCAATCTCCCCATATGATTTCACCCTTGCCACTCCAGCAAGATCGACCAGCGCATGTCCTGTGCCGGATACTGGAACTGCTTGACGATTCATGCCAAAAGCCTTGCGTGTCATCTTGTCACATTGAGGTGTGTGTGTGCTCAATGGTCATGTAGATGTTTCGCATCTGGCTGATGCTGAGGAGGATAGGTACAGCGCCTTGTTCAAGGATGTCGATGTTGGTGCTGGCTAGGATTCGTGTGATATTTGAGATGCAAGGCCCAATTGACCTTAGCTGTCTCTCCATTCACAAATGTGAACTTAGTAAAACGCTGGGTTGCACGCCAGCTGCCCATGGATCTGGTACATCTGTTGTCCAGGACCGCATAGGTCGGATTGTGCTGAGGGTTGGCTTTGTTGCCAAGAGGCTCTGCTTTGTTGCGACGGACGACTGCAAATCCAGCAGTGGCTGCGAACGTTTTGGATTTTCCTTTGTCATGTCCGCCTTTTCCTTTGCCACTGCCAGAGGACGGATAACCTTTGTTTCCATCATAGGGCTACTGGATTTTGCCCACAATGCCTGGTCGTAGGGTTTCGTTGGCCATACTGGCCTTCCCGCCGGAAGCACTTTTTTCGAAAGGGTTTGAAGCCTTTTTGCTTCCTGATGTTCCTTTTCCTATTCTCTTCTTGAATGTGAAGTTTCGCCCAATCACTTTTCTTGCAATGAACGCATCTTCTCCTCCGCAACCCAAAAAGTCTCTTCATCATTGGTTGCCATGAATCCTTCAAGTCCAGAACAGAACTGCACCTTCTCTTGGCCTTTTCCCACTTGTCCCCTCAGCTCAGCAATCACGCTGAAGAGGTGTTCCCGCTGCTTCTCCATTCCCAGCAGCTTCCGGCAGGCCTTGCCTTAGTTCTTCTCCATCTCCACGTCCAGATCCAACTCTTCAATGAGCTCCTCCTCATCCTCTCGTCAAGGTGCGCTCGTCCCAATCAAGATTCAGGCCTTTTCCTTCACAGTGTTCTAGGTTGGATGGATGGATCTTGGATGGGTGTTCTGGTCGTAATGAAGAGATCATGATACTGAGTCTTCATCAGCTCAGAGGTGTAATTCTCGAGCGGGATGCTTCTCAAAGACATTGCGCTGATCAGTTTTTCTCTCTGCTGATCTGGCAACTCACTCTGGATGATGAAAAATTGCGCAATAAGATTGTCGCTGGGAAATGCGTCCTCGTGTCTTGTCTGCGTGCCATTGAGGTACTGCCTGAGTACTTCTGGATCTGTGGACAGCAGCTCTCACACCGGCGGCTTGCTGATGCGCGGCCATTCTTCTTGCGTTAGCATCTTGTACTGATGCTATGAACTCCTGTGCTTGAAGAAACTAAGAAGTCTGTATAAGTCACGTTCGCCGAGCCCTTCAGGAAGAACTTCTTCAGCGTGTTCTTGAAATCGTTGACCCCTTCTTCAGGATCTTGCACAAGGTCATTCTGGAGGACTGCCTGGTACATGTGAGCATCTCCGATGAGTCTGCTCTTGAGAGTGACCCGATCATCTACGAGTTCTTCGTATCTAAACCCGTCGTACGACGGCGGCTGCTTGGCGGTCAGCGATAAGTTGAGCGTCTCTTCAGCGAAGCCGGATGATCGGCCTACACATGAAGACTTCTCCATCGGATGACATCTTGTTTGGATCTTTGCGGAAAATTTGCTCCGCTACCACTGCCAGGGTATCTTATCCCCGGAAACAAATAATACCTGATGGTAGTAGAGGATCTTGATGCGCTAGGCCCTGGATTCGTCCGGAGAGTCCAAGTGTCAACACTGATGGATTGATACGGGATTAGGCCTGGTTGATTGGGGTTTAGTCTGCAAGTGGTCCGCTAGCACCTTTGTATCACGGACGCAATGGCTCAGTGAGCTATGTACATCGGGCGTGTGACATGAAAGGCCTTGAGTGTTGTGCGGAGATCAATGGGTCCCAAAAACAAACACGGAAGGGGACTTAAGGGGTCGCAAATCCTTAGGCGCTGCCAAAACTCCTTAACTGCAGGGTTAGGAAGCTTAAATTCAGGGGGGTGAACTTAAGGGACCGCAAACCCTTAGTGCACGATTGACTAGCTTAAACTCAGGGGCTAAAATTCCTTGAGAACATGGTTGATCAGTTTAACTTGAAGGGGGTGAACTTGAGCAAATCCTTAGTTGCGGCAAAAATTCCGTAAGTCCAGCTAAAATTGCTTAGGTGAACCACAATTTGCGGAAAATCCTCAAGTGCAGCCAAAACTCCCTCAGCGCAGCCAAAACTCCTTAAGTGCTTAAGTGCAGGGTTAAGAAAGTTAACTTAAGGGGGGGGGTGCACTTAAGGATTTTGGCCCCTGTGCGAGATGAAAATGGGGGTGAACTTAATGGTTTTCAAGAGTTTCGGCTGCGCTTAAGGAATTTTGGCTGTACGTAAACGCTAAAGAATTTTGTCTGCGCTTTCTTCGCTGGGTCTGCCGTGGGTACGGCTTCGCTCGGCCAAGAAAAGGACTGTAGTGAAAAGCTGTGTCCTGGCGGGTGCCTGTTCACGCAGCAACTGTGATGACACAGAAGTTTACGGAAGGCTGACTGCTGGTCTTGAGAAGCACATCACTGAAATTGTCTGGTCTGAGCCAAACATTGCAAACACCTGGCAACCTGCATGCCTGCAACCTGCATGCGTGCAACCACACCGCCAAAAATAACACAAAACACATGTTTGCCAACGTCACGCGGCCCTTTCGAATACACCCGCCCGCAAGCAACTCCAACGTCATCTACCACTCCACGTGTTCGGGATTCTGAGACTGTCAGACGCCGCGAACTCACTCGCAGAGACAATCTGTGATCTGAGACAGAAAACCTCTCGGGTGCGCGGAACATTTCACTGTGTGCTAATTCTGCCCCATGTGTGGTCCGCATCAGCAAACCCCAAACCAAGGTCATTTCATCGGGTGTGTGTGTGTGCAAAATCACTCACAGTTTATACCAATTCTCCAACGAGGTAGTGCCATCAAGTCCGTCTGTTGCATAGTTCCCAAACCAAACGCTTTTTCGGGCTCTTCAGCTGCGAGGTACACGGGGCCCTCCTACACTCCATACTTTTGAAAGCCAACAGTTCCGAGGTTTCGATCTGAACATGCCTGAGATGATAGAGGCTCGCGCCCCACAGCTGCTCTGCCGAGTATATGTCCCGCAGCTCGCCGCCAAGTGCCTTGAAACCGGGACCCGCAAAACAATCACACGCCCAAAAATATAGCTTCTCAGTTGCGACTGTCACAGCTTCTACAGTTCCCCATATCCCCCTTTGAACTGCGCCGCATGGGCGAGCCATCCTTTCAAAGATAACAGTCAAAGGTGCTCCGGGTGGCAAACTTGGGAGGGGTCTGGAAAGACATGGAAAATGACCCGTCTTTTGGGAAGTTCCAAACGCGCAACTCCTTTCTCCCTTTTGGGACTGTGTCTTCAGGCACCTCAGGCAAAACCCGCAACCCCATGGCTTTCCCTAGGTGCTACTGTGGATGGACGAAATCCCGCGCCAGTTGGGATGGATGATGTCCTGCACAATGGGACAAACCACCTACCAACTGATGCGAAGTAAATTTGTCCATCAACAGTATGGCTTGTTTGTTTGGCGATTCGGGTTGTCCTTGAAACATCCCGCCAAATCAGGCTCGAGGTCACAAAAAGCCAGCATCAAACGTTGCAACTGGCTGGTGGGTTCCAGTGAAACGTGGAGATCCAAAATCGGAAATTGAGGGACCCTTTGCCCGGAACCCATACATTTGCCCAACTCCAGTCTGAAAAGGCCCGGAGGCAGCCACGACAAAAACATTGGCTGCGACAAAAACTCGGTGTGGTTTTCAGGAGGCTTGCCCTTGCGCTCACGACGCTTGGGGGGTCGAAGGAAAATAACGGACACTTTGGACACAACCGCCCACGCCCACGCTAATCTGTTCGAATGCTCAAGCGTGGTCAGCCTTCCCTCGCGGCTTGCTGCCACGGATTCGCCATAGAGTTTTTGGGCTCGCCGGAGAAGATCCGAGCTGCATGTTTCCATTGATTGCGTTGGCGTAAGAGGACGCCTTCCTTTCTCAAGAAGGAGGCCGGGCAATGCCGCCCCTTGCTCCAAAATGCAGATGGCTTGTTCCCGGATGCGTAGCAGAAAGGTTCCCGTTTAGAGGTCGGGGGTCTGGGGGCTAGGATGCGACCAGAAGTCGTTGATTTACGTCCTGATGCGTCCGCAAGCGTTCGCAAGCGTCCGTCGCAGCTCCAGTGGGGAAAGCGAATTGAAGCGTGTCATTCTTCGCGCCCCTGTGCGGGAATCGTAGCGCTTAGCGTGTCAGACGTGGTTTTGCTGCGCAGGCGCAGTGTTTTTGAAGGCTCCGTGTTCTCGTTGCCGCGCCAGTGGGGATTTGCGATCCAGGGGTGGTCATTTTAAGGTGTCCTGCTTGGCAGGCGCGCGATAGTGTTTGCACCGGTGTCGTTTTCGTTGGCCCTTTGTACAATCGGCTCGTTTTGGCGAGCTTGAAACATGTCAAAATTGGTCGAAATCATTCTGGCGCCACAGTCCCGTGCTAGTTTTGGATGCGTGTCGCAAACGTGTCAAAGCTGGATTTCGTGGCCGGTCCAGCAGTTTGGATGATTTTGAGTTCGTGGCAAGCTTACTTTGCGTGACAGGCGCAGCACTTTCGAGCGTTTTGGTTGAATTTCGTGGCAGGAGCTGCACTTTGGAGCTTTTCGTGCAAATTTCGTGGCAGGCGCAGTACTTTGGCGCCTAGGTGTAGATTTCAAGGCAGGCGCGTCACTTTGACTCAGCGAGATCGCTCTCGCTGTGGCGCGGAGCGCATTTTGAAAACGCGAAGCGAGCCTTCTGCGCGCCTTGGGTGGGTCGAATCGCTCTCACTGTGGGGCGACGCGCTTTTTGAGCATGCGAACCCTCTGCGCACTTTGGGCGCGTCGAATCGCTCTCGCTGTGGCGTGGTGCGCATTTTGAGCGCGCAAAGTGAACCCTCTGCGCGCTTTGGGCGGGTCGAATCTCTCTCGCTGTCGCGCAGTGCGCATTAGAAGTATCGTTCAGAAGTGTCGATCAGAAGTGTCCATTAGAAGTGTCGTTCAAAAGGGTCGATGAATTGCGTCGCTCAGAAGTACCGGTTAAAAGTGTTAACAAAAGTGTTGCTTGGAAGTGTCGACAGAAGTGTTGCTCGGAAGTGTCGATCAGAAGTGTTGCTCAGAAGTGTCGGTCAGAAGTGTCGATCAGAAGTGTTGCTCAGAACTAGAACTGTCGATCAGATCAGAAGCGTGGATCAGACGTGTTGCCCAGAAGTGTCAATCAGAAGTGTCAGTCAAAAGTGTTGCTCAAAAGTGTCGCTCAGAAGTGTCGAACAGAACTGTTGCTCGGAAGTCTTGGTCAGAAGGTTCGATCGGAAGTGTTGCTCGGAAGTGTTGCTCAGAAGTTTCGATCAGAAGTGTGCTCAAAAAGTGTCGCTCAGAAGCGTCGCTCATGTCGCTGAGATATGTGTGTATAAATGTTGCTCGAATTGTCGCTCAGGAGTGCCGCTCAGCAGTGTTGCTGATGTGTGTGTGTGGCTAAGACGTGTCGCTCAAAGGTGTTTTCAGAGTGTTGCTCAGGAGTGCTGCTCAGGAGCGCCGCTCAGTGTTGCCCAGAAGTTTTGTTCAGAGGTGTCGCCGCTTACATGTGTGGGTGTGTTTGCTCAGCAGTGTTGCTCGGAGTCGCTGATCAGAAGCATCGGTCAGAAGTGCTGCTCAGAACTGTCGATCAGAGGTGTCGGTCAGGGGTGTCGATCAGCAGTGTCGAATCAGCAGTGTTGCTCTTAAGTGTTGCTCGGAAGTGTCGGTCGGATGTTGCTCAGCAGTGTGGATCAGAAGTGTTGACCAGAAGCGTCTGTCGATCAGGAGTGTCGATCAGAAGTGATGCTCAGAAGTGTCAATGAGCAGTGTGCATCAGAAGTGTTGGTCAGCAGTGTTGCTCCCTCAAAAGTGAAGCGTCGCCCTGAAGTATCGATCAGAAGTGTGGACTAGAAGCATCGATCAGAAGTGTTGCTCAGAACTGTCGATCGTGGTGTCGGTCAAAGGTGTCGATCAGAAGCGTCGAATCAGCAGTGTTGCTCTGAACTGTGCGTCAGCAGTGTGGGTCAGAAGTGTTGACCAGAAGCGTCTGTCGATCGGGAGTGTCGATCAGAAGTGTTGCTCGGAAGTGTCGCGCAGAAGCAGTATTGCTCAGAAGCGCCGCTCAGAAGTGTCGATGAGCAATGTGGATCAGAAGTGTGGATCAGAAGTGTCAATCCGAAGTCTGGATCAGAAGTGTCGACCAGAAGTGTCGATGAGAAGTGTTGCGCAGAAGTGTCAGCCTGAAGTGTTGCTCAGCAGTGTTGCTCAGAAGTGTCAATTCAGCAGCGTTGCTCAGAAGTGTCGCTCAGACGTGTCGAAGAGCAGTGTGGGTCAGAAGTGTTGGTCAGAAGTGTCGCTCAGAAGTGTAACTCCGAAATGTCGATCAGTCAAAAGTGTTGCTCGGAAGTGCGGTCGGAAGTGTTGCTCAGAAGCGTAGCTCAAAAGTGTTGCTCGGAAGTTTTTGACAGAAATGTCGCTCAGAAGCGTCGGGCAGAAGTGTGGGTTGGAAGTTTTGCTCAGAAGTGTTGATGAGAAGGGCTCCTCAAAAGTGTCGATCAGAAGTGTCGATCAGAAGTGTTGCTCAGAAGTGTCGCTCAGAAGTGTCAATTCAGCAGTGTTGCTCAGAAGTGTAGTGTGGATCAGAAGTGTTCATTCCTACTTGCACTCCTCCATGTTCGTTTCCAGCCTGTGTCACCCACAGGGTAATGCGTTGGCTAGACCCACCGACCAAGCAGTTTCACACCTGCTCTGGGGGTGGGCCATGCGGGTCACTCCCTGCATGGCCACGCAGGATCGCTTCCTGCTTAAAATCCCAAGGCGCTTGAAATCCCAACGCGCTTACAGAAATTCGAACACACGGACGAGGGGAGAAAACGGGAGCGCCCAGAGGGGCAGCGGACACTCCGCTTGGAAAGCTGTGAAGCAGTTAGCCTTCCACCAAGGCCTCCAGACCTAGGCAGCCGGCCCAGTTACTCTTGCTGGGAATCCACTCCCAGAAGAACCAGGCCTGCAGGGGGAAGATTGCTGCATGGATCATGCAGATCTCCCTCTGATCAAACACATAAGCGCAGCTGTGTTGTCGATGTACCAAACACCTCTTTTTGCACGGAACATGCCGGGTCGGGCAATCAGGGCTAGAAGCACCATCAAAAGTTCGAGCTGCGCGATCACTTTGTCGTAATCCGCTCCCCCTATTAATGAGTGACCCCCATTAATAAACAATGGAAATCCGGGGCCCGGGACCAGATTTCCACTCCGCACAAATGATTTTCCATTGCGCCAATACTAAACCAATACTAAAGTCTTGGAATCCTTATTAGGGGGCACTTTTAACAAGCTTCCAGCCCCACTTTTAAAAAGGTGGGTTCCTCAAAAGATGAATTCCCTAAAAGGTTGCTTCCCCAAAAGCTGGCTTCCCCAAAAGGTTGGGTGTTTTTGGTGGGTTCCCCAAAAGGTTGTCCCTGACTCTCTCCCCAAAAGCTGTCTAGCTGCGACTGTCTCTCTCCCGTACATGCTGGCTAATTAACCTGCCTGGTTGCAAACAAACAACCAGTAAACTGAAAAACAAATAGAATGATACAAAATTCCTTATTAAACCGCTTACTCGCGGACCTTACAATTCAATCCATTTCCTCCAAATCCTATGTGAACCCTCACATTGCTGGAAAAGCAAAAAAACCCAACCCCAAAAACCAAGTAAAAATAGGGGGCCGTATTTGTTAATAGGGGGAAGAGATTAGACGGCGGATGGGATCTGGGTGATGAAAGTCTCACGGAGCTGCTCGTTGCCAGTGAGCCAGACAATGTGGAACCCGCCAGTGCCCGCTCAAGGCGCCTCCAGAGGCGCCGGACGCTGCCACGAAACGGTCACACTGCAAAGGCAGCACCTCGAGCTTGCGCCTGGGTTTGACCCGAAGAAGCTCCCTCAATGCGACAGCGGCTAGGCCAGCGCAGCCTATCCTCCCGAAGATGCCCTGCTTCAAGAAAGTTGGCCACGCCGGACACCTTCGAAGCAGTGCCCGGAGACAGGCACTGCTACGCCTCCATGTCATCCAAAAGCCACCAAACTTCTCCAGCAGGCGATGCCGCGGCCCTTGTCACTCCCGCCGCCTGGGCCCTTGGCTGCCTCTTTTCCTCGGCAAAAGGGGCTGGTTCAACGGACTGAAAGCATGCTGACCACTGCCCTTGGCTGAACGCCAATCGTCTTCCCAAGGACTCCACAAGGCGGCTGTACCGGTTGAAACTAGTGACAGCCAAGCAAAACCCAAAGAGGAGGCTGCTGTAGACACTGAAGCTCTCCGCCTGCGAGATGGGGCTATGCCGGTATGCCTTCGGCCAGTTCCCCCCCAGAATCGAATTGGTCAACTCCGATCCGCTGGGTCCAGGCATCTGCTCCCATTCTCGCTGCCACTGCGGCCACATGCTGCGCCGGCCGAAGTGCTGAGCACAGGACAAGCTTGTTCATATCCACGGACAGCTCGGACTAACCTCCAGCATCGGCGTTGTCGATGATCCGCTTCTTGCCGGATGACTGCACGACGCTGCGCCGAGGGACCAGAAGAAAAGGGCTGGCCTTGAGTGAGGCGCAAGAGCTCGCCCCGCTGCAGCGGGGCTGTAGCGAAACGGCACTGCTGTCACAAAAGCGAGTGCTCAGAAAAACCCTTAAGCTGCGCATTGCCCTTCTCATCTGGGCAACAAGCATCGCGCTGCATCTCAGGTCGTGGCTCGCGCCTTTATACGCAGACCTTTGTATCCCTCCAGGTTCAATGCACTCCATACCACCTCAGACGTGGTCAGCATTTCGAGCCTGCTTGAGCCGTGACCTCAAAACCCGACATAGCCTGCCACCAAGGCGGCATCCGTCAAGCTCTGCCCCAACAGCGTCTCATCATGTAGCCCTGGCTTCAGCGGCGCGATGATGGAGCGGTTATGCTGCTCCCATCCACGGAAAACCTCCGACAACGCAATGGGGTGATTCTTCTGTTGCGGGAAACCACGGGCGGAAGGCCTTCAACTAGGCCCATCGGGTAGCTGACATCCGCCCAAGAGCTGATGAGGAGGCGCAAGCGCATCGAACACCATCCCCACAGTTGCAATCACTCCCCGCAGCGACTGGAGCTGGTCTTTGAGGTTGGTCATCACATACTCCACGTATCGGGGCCTCCCTTCACCAGAACTTCTGAAATTTGCTCGCCCTGTACGCGCTGCCCACCCCTGCGACAAAGGCAAGCAGGGCTGTTTACTCAGCCTCCCACGGCCCAAGCCACGCTAGAATCTCAACAAGGTTGTGCCTGAGCTTTTGGTACTTACACCTGGCGCCACCGAAAGCACAAGCTCTGTAGTCTGTGTCCATCCAGGCTCCTGACTGGCGCACGCGCTCCTCCAAAAATTTGTATCCCACCACCTTCCTCTCATGCCCGTCCTGCGGTCTTGCCTGCTGCAACAAGTGCCCCGGATGCTGGGGCCACTATTTGGACTGCGATTCACCTGGCCTTCGCTTTCAACAGTTTGGAGGATGCGCAGGTTGCTGGAGGCCAGACTTTGGCGTCGGTCCAGGACCCCAGCTGCAGCTTCCATGGTAAAGGCTGCTTCGAGCAGGCCAGCCCTCAATGAAGGAGGTTTTTGCGGCCAGGGATGCTCGCTGGCTCACCCCGGTTGGACATCACAGGAGAAGAGTGGGTCGCAGCCGTCGGGCTCCTCTCAGTTCAAGTTGGGCAAGCAGGTGAACGGAAAGCAGGTGGCTCGGGTCATGAAGGACGGCACGCAGCTGTGCCCCAACTTCCAGCGAGGGGAATGCCGAGCCAAAGCGCCATGCCCTGCCAGAGCACACCGGTGTGGGGCGGTGCTGGAGAAGGACAGGGTCTGCGGAGTGTCCGCAAGGAGGCGACAGCCTTTTCGCGGAAGCGCGAGCCTGCTCAGTCGCACCCAGGCCCGCCAGCGCAGGGGCTGCCACTGGTGGCTGATCTGATGTCAGGTCCGAATGCCCCGCCGGTGACCAAGGTCTTCCCGTTCTGTGGTTGGGCTGCCCTGACAGTCGACCGGTGCATCGACAACGCGCATACCTTAGTCACCCCCTTCGGCAGCAGAGTTTGGCACAGCAGCTGCGGGAGGTGGATCGACTTCATCTTTGCGGCAATGGATTGTTCAACCAAATCCCTAGCTTGTGAAATCCCTAAAAAGTTCAGTGATGGCGGGCCTCAGCCTCAGCCACTACGCTCTACTGACCATCCTGAGTTACCCCACCTATCTCGGAGGGACCGGGACCTCGTGGAGCAACAGGTTTCCAGCTCTAGCTGGAAAATTGTAACTTTGACAAGTCTAGTACGCGAAGTACCGGTTTCCAGCTCCAGCTGGAAAATCGCGACTTTGTTGTACAAGTCTAGTCTCTAGTACGCAGTCTTCTTTCCAGCTCCAGCTGGGTAAATTGCGACTCTGTAGTACAAGTCTAGTACGCGAAGCACACGTTTCCAGCTCAAGGTGCAAAATCGCAACTTTGTAGCGCAAGTCTAGTACGCGAAGTACAGGTTTCCAGCTCTGGCTGGAGAATCGCAACTTTTGTAGTACAAGTCTGGCGCCGAAGTACCGGTTTCCAGCTCTAGATGGAAAATCGCGACTTTGTTGTACAAGTCTAGTGTTTAGTACGCAGTCTTCTTTCCAGCTCCAGCTGGTAAATTGCGACTCTGTAGTACAAGTCTAGTACGCGAAGCACAGGTTTCCAGCCCAAGGTGCAAAATCGCAACTTTGTAGCACAAGTCTAGTACACGAAGTACAGGTTTCCAGCTCTGGCTGGAGAATCGCAACTTTTGTAGTACAAGTCTGGCGCCGAAGTACCGGTTTCCAGCTCTAGATGGAAAATGGCAACTTTTTTAGTGCAAGTCTGGCGCGCGAAGTACCGGTTTCCAGCTCTAAATGGCAAATTGCAACTTTGTAGCACAAGTCTAGCGCCCCAAAATCGCAACTTTGTGCCCCAGTATAGCGCGATCGCAACTTTGAAGTACAAGTCTAGTGCGCGAAGTGCAGGTTTCCAGCGCTAGCTGGAAGATCGCAACTTTGAAGAGCAAGTATAGTACGCGAAGTACAGGTTTTGAGCTCCAGCTCGAAAATCGCAACTTTGTAGTACAAGTCTAGTACGCAGGGTACAAGTTTTCAGCTCTAGCTGGACAATCGCAGCTGTGTAGCGCAAGTCTAGTGCGAGAAGCACAGGTTTCCAGCTCCGGCTGGAAAATCACAACTTTGTAGTACAAGTCTAGCGCGCGAAGCGCAAGTGTCCAGCTCCAGGTTGAAAATCGTAACTTTGCAGCAACAAGTGGGGCAAAGTACAGTTTTACAAGCTGAAAAACATAGTTTGCGCAGTTGGCTTGATTGCGAGCCCCATTGGCTTATACCGAAAAATATATACGCAAAGTGATGTGCATTCGGGTTCGTGGGCTCTGTCTTATTTTTAGTTTCTGGACCCTTGGTCTGCCTGTTGGGGTCCAAAAGCAAGTCCTGATTTGAGCGCTGTCTAATCTTTATACAGGGGCTAGAGCAAGCAGTCCAACAAAGGCCTCGCCTTGGCTTCCCTTTTCTCTCACATCCAACAGAAGAAGGCGCCGCTTGAGGACATTGATGAAGCTGAGACAAAACTCCCAAACCTGAAAAACGTCCTTCCAGAAATCCTCAAGCCTAAACGCTGTTAAAGCGCTGCAAAGTACGTCAAACGTCTCAACAAAAAGTGATGGAGCAAATCGCATAGGTTCCAGGGAAAAACTTGCAACTCCCCCAAATTGTCCCAAGGCCACCAAAAACTAAACACAACCTATGAAACGAAAGGCCGAGTACTCTTTGCTTGTCTAGCGAAGGGCCCCGGAACACAAAAACCCGAAAGAAAAAGGACCTACTAAAGAAGAACCCCGAAAACCGCTTGTTGTTTGCAAGGGCATATTTCAGAAGGACCCCTTCTAATGCAAGTGCTTCCGTAGCATTGCCCTTCAAGCACCGTAGCTGGTCGCGCGCGGTTCCTGCGGGATCCCTTCAGAATGACGTCGCTTCAGCAACCCTGCGCCCATTTGACAAAAGCGGAGATTGGCATTGGCTTGGCCTCCAGGCCGCCTCCATGAGAAACTCCACGCTGTTCCGCCTCCAGTTGGGCGTGGTTGCTTTCCAATTCGTTCTTCGTAGCCTTTTGTTTGGTTGTTGGAACATATCATAGATGTTGGCACCGGTATTTGCAGGTAGCCTTTTGTTTTAGGAGGACACCTGTCCACATTTTCCTTCCTAGTTGGTACCCTACCTATATTCATAGAGCCAGCCCAGCTCTTTCACAAGTTTCTAGAACAATGAGAATGTAGAGCAAGGCTCCGTTTGGTTTGCGTGCCTGGTGTCCCTGGTCAGACGATGGCTCGCCGCAAGCGTGAGAGATCTCTCGATGCAGCCTCCGCATCAGCGCTCCCGTCTCTTGCGACCACGCGATCTCAAGCGCAGAGAAGCTGGCCACTCAAGCAGCACGCGCACGCTTGGCCCTCGGTTTTCTGCCTGTCCTGCCAGCTGCCTGGTTAGAGAAGCGAGGCAACAAGCGAGGCGTCTGCCAAGACCTGCCGAGCATCTGCGTGAAAAGCTTGGTGTGGAGTCGCGCCAGGCAAGATTGCGCCCAGTAGCTCAAAACATGCGTCTTTCATGGCAGCGACGTGATCCCTGTGGAAGGACTGCAAGCTTGGCCATAGCCAGCCTGCAACTTCAGGCGACACACGCCTTTCTTCAAGCAGGAAGACGTTGGGAGGAGGGAGTTGGGGACTCATGCTAGTCGCGGCCCATTCATACATCCAAGGTCAGATTTTGGGGTTTTGGGCTCGCGAAAATTTTGCTTGACCTGTCTTGATCCTGTGTCAACCTTACCGTGAAGGCTGCGGCCTTGATGCTCCTACCAGATGAAAAATCGCATATACTTGCTTGAACCTGCTTCCAACTTGGCGTGAACTTTGCGGCATTGATGCTTCTACCGAATGCGAAAAATTGCACACATTTGATTGAACCTGTTTCCAACTTAGCGTGAACTTTGCGGCATTGATGCTTCTGGGCCTACAACAAAATTGCACACTTTGCTTGAGCCCGTTCCAACTTATGAACTTCCTGGCAACTTGATGCTGAACTTTGCTGGGCCTACAACAAAATTGCACACTTTTGCTTGACCCTGTTTCCAACTTAGAGTGAACTTTGTGGCATTGATGCTTCTGGGCCTGGGAAAAAACTGCACGCGTTTGCTTGAACCCGTGTCCAACTTAGCGTGAGCTTTGCGGCATTGCTGCTTCTACCGCCGGATGTGGGCCCGCAAAAACACATACATTTGCTTGAGCTTGTTTCCAACTTAGCAGGAACTTTGCGGCATTGATTTTTGTACCGGATGCGGGCCCACAAAACACTTGCACGCCTTTGCTTGAACCTGTTTCCAACTTAGCACGAACTTTGCGGCACTGATGCTTCTGAGTTTGCTCTCAAGGTGCCTGGCAGGGCTCGCTCAAATTGCATGTTGATGTCGGAAACTTACATGCCCCAACCTGATTGTGTTACTGACACTTCGCATGACAGGCGTGGCGCCGGTACTGATGACAGGCATACTGGATTGAATGATTCGCATGACAGGCAACGCACCCGTGTTGGCATTGGGGACAGTGATGGCCCCTGGCCCATTGCTGCTGACAGAACATGTTCCGCAGCCAAATTTGCGGGTGACATGGAAAGTGAAGAGGCAGCGGTAGATTTGCTCTGCCGGGCGGGCTCATCCGGAACTGACTGCGCCGGCATCCTGCAATAGTGGCAGGCAGCGTTGAGACGAGGATGGGGGGGATGCGCCCCCAGAATTATTGCATGTGCTCCAGTGGCAGCTCAACCGCCTGTCCCGAGAACGCCATGCCTGGACTGAAACGGATGAGTACTTGTGGAGGAGGTGGAAGACGTGGAAAATTGGGGTGACTTGGAGACGTGGCCCAGTGACATGATGAAAAACCCCGTGTGTTTTTGGGCAACTTGGCCGCTGCTCTTCGTGCGCCAAGGCTTGCGGAACCGCTGGATCTAGTGGTGTCTATCAATGGGGAGGACCGTGACTGCAGGCCTAGACTTCGCAGCGAGCCGGCCAACTGGGGGGGTCGAACGCCGTGGCATTTCGATTTTTACGTTTCCTGGAAATGACAAACCACGCGCCAGCAGGGCCACAGATGAGTGGTTCAGTTTGAAACTGCAGTTCCGGAACCTGTGGGATGACCTTGTCCAGGCCCTGCGCACTGTTGTTGACGTTGACAGTGACAGTGACAGGCATGGCGCCGCCAAGGCCAAGTGTGATATTCTTTTTCCTTGCCATGGCGAAGTAAACAGATCCACCGCAACCCCACATGCGTCTTTTTCAGTGAATGCTTTTCTGGTGATCTGCAAGAGGTGTGGAGCTGTTTTTGGGCACTCAGCTGCTGTTTCCTTGCTGCGGAGGAGTGAGTGAGTGAGTGAGTGAGTGAGTGAGTGAGTGAGTGAGTGAGTGAGTGAGTGAGTGAGTGAGTGAGTGAGTGAGTGAGTGAGTGAGTGAGAGTGAGTGAGTGAGTGAGTGAAGTGAGTGAGTGAGTGAGTGAGTGAGTGAGTGAGTGAGTGAGTGAGTGAGTGAGTGAGTGAGTGAGTGAGTGAGTGAGTGAGTGAGTGAGTGAGAGTGAGTGAGTGAGTGAGTGAGTGAGTGAGTGAGTGAGTGAGTGAGTGAGTGAGTGAGTGAGTGAGTGAGTGAGTGAGTGAGTGAGTGAGTGAGTGAGTGAGTGAGTGAGTGAGTGAGTGAGTGAGTGAGTGAGTGAGTGAGTGAGTGAGTGAGTGAGTGAGTGAGTGAGTGAGTGAGTGAGTGAGTGAGTGAGTGAGTGAGTGAGTGAGTGAGTGAGTGAGTGAGTGAGTGAGTGAGTGAGTGAGTGAGTGAGTGAGTGAGTGAGTGAGTGAGTGAGTGAGTGAGTGAGTGAGTGAGTGGGCGCCCGACACGCCAACAGGTTAAGACCTGTTCCACTGCTCCTAGCTTGAACCCAAACAACCCTCACATCAAAGAACCCCGCAAATCCAAAAGGCGCGCACTTCTTTCTCACGGGTTGCTTGAAAGTAGCACTGCCTCCAGGGCACGCGGTGCACCTGGAGCAGGAGGAAGCATTGGCAAGCGTGCCTCAATGTTTCCAAGCAACCCCGGAAAGAGCTGAGCCAGCTGAGTAGCCGACCAAACCCCCCCTTCAGAGCGGGGTTGCGCCTGTTTGAGACGGCATGCTCGAATCCGCTCGTTTAGCGCGCTGAGTTTGGTGACAAACTCTTTGATGCGGCTGTTCTGGCCGCCAAGGCGCATCGATGGGGCACAGAGTGAGCCCCCTTGCAGCTTGAGCAAGGCTGCAAGGGCTGAAGCGCACGCGGTCTGCAGGGCGGTTCACGAAACGGTGAAGGCGTCTTCGGCTGAGGTCGTCTGCCCAGTCGTTCAGACGTCCGGGCACGTGTGTGGGCTGCAAGTGCACGTTGTGCGCGTGAGCCCAGATGGCCACCAGTTGCAGAAACAATTGCAAATGCCTGCTTCGGTGGCAGAGTTGTCCGTGCCGGACGGCGGGCTGAAGGAGTAGTGACTCCCTCCGATGTGCGAGTGCGTGGCCTGCAGCAGTGCTAACTGGGCTAGGGTCTCGAAGCAAACAATGTAGCGCTGGGCAGGCTTGGTAAGGCAAGGCCACGCGGATCTAACCTCGCTCATGTTCCATGATTCTGCAAACCAAACCACCTGAGTGGAGGTCACGGCCCATCCTCCAATGCCGACTATGTCGGCCTCTGCGCACGCGTCGGCAGCTGCTAGAGCTTGGAGTCTGCAAGGCTGTGCAATTGGTTGGACGGGCGAGTGCTGGAAGCATGATCCGAGCCAGGCCAGACAGTGCTGGCTGAACTTGGAAAGGCTAGTATAGGGGTTTGACAGGTCCAAGATCCTAACCCACGTGGGCTTGCTGGTGCTGGGGATAGGTCACATCCTGCACACAATGGCCATTGACTTCTAAGAGCTTGGATCCTTCTGAGATCCAAAGGCCTCTCGACTAAGCCTGCTAGTTTGGCCAGCTTGCCTGACATGAGCTGTATGGAATCGTGGGAGAAGCTGATATCCCAACCACACCACACAAGGCGATCCTGGAACTGTGCTTTTTTCCAGGACATTGGTGATGCGATAGCACAGAAGAAGAGCACAACCAGTACGAACATTTCCTGGGCACTTTCGCGGATGAGTGCGCACAGGAGGTCGTCAACAAAAAGGAAGGCTTTGTGTGGCTTCCATGTTAACAGCCCATGTATTTGTCGCAGCAAGAAGCGTTGCCACCAGTAAGCCGAGAACCGGCCTCCAAAATGACAGGCTCTATAGTGGTAGAGTTTGTTTTGAAAGGCGAACAGCAGAAGGCCATGCTCCTCGCGGCGCCCCTGCACTTGCTTGTGCGCGGCTTTGAAGTCTAGGCTGGCGCCTATGCAGGCCCCTGGCGTGTCTTCGGGTTGGGTAGACAGGGCCAGATCTCATGCCACTGGAAGGCTGAGGCGTTCTGGCAGGTAGCATCGTGTGTTGACTTGGCACACCGTGCTGTCCAGGACAAGGCGTGGTTCTTTGCCTTCTGCAAAGACCACGTTCAATTTTCCTAAAGGCCACTGTTTTTTGGCCTCCGCAAGCGTAAGGCTGGTGGCAACGACCCAGTTGTTAGAAATTTCTTTATCGAGAAGGCTTTGCATACCTTTCTGAGTGAAGCGCGCGGCGAGGAGGCTGGATTCTTCGCACAGTTTGAGTATAGCTGCCCCATTCTGCCGTGCACTTATCCTGAAGGCTGGCCTGCATTGATGCACTAGTGATTGGCCCGGCTGCTGCAGCGCGGCCTGGCCTGGGCGTACCGAAAACCCTACGCCGCACTTGCGATGAGGGCACACGGCCACAGCTGGATGTGTAGCTGGGCAGCGGCCTGACTGGCGGTCTGTGCGTAAGGACACTGCCAGGCTTGTCTGGGAAGGTGTTCTGGTACCGGCAGGCCTGGTGGCTGAACAGACACGGAAGGCCTTTGGAGCCGGGCACGAGGCCGTTGCAGGAGCAAGGCATATTTGCAAATTTTGCACGGAGACCTTATCCGAAAAAGA